GCCACATCTGAGGTCAAGGCCGTCGTAAAGAAGGACGACAAACACAAACAGGGGAAGAACAGGAACAACAAAAACAACAAGGACAAGTCTGGAAATGGCAACAACAGCACGCCCGCGGTAGTCGCATCTCCCGCCATGTTCATACCACGTGGTGTCCAGAAGAAGGGCAAGTCGAACGGTCCGAGAGTCCTGGGATGAGTCACCCCTGTGTGGTTGCAGACGCTTTCAACAACACGGCACGACGGAATGCTCAGGCATGTACAACTACGTACCCACGTGTACTTTTAACACTCCCAAGGTTAGTGGAGTCACTTCTACTTTGCACTTTCATGTTTGTCTGTTTGTTTGGTTTTTGTCTTTTGGTTTATGTTCAAGCGTTAAATGGATTCTCAGCAGTGTCAAATATGACGGATGCGGTGGAGGGGGGATGCCACGAAGTACGACGCACATCTGCGCGATGAGCGTACTTGTGCAGTTGGCAACGTAGTGGGGATGAAGGGCCAAAGGGTCCTCGATGTGTCTAGTTTCAAGGAACAGATGCTTGGCAGAAGAGGATCAATCGAGCCAGACTTAGACAGCCCATATCATGATGCAAATGTGAACACTGCCGTGAACCCCATCTCACCTCCCCCTACATCCCACTACCCATCCAACCCCCTCACACTTTCCACAACCCCCTCCCCCTCCCCCTCCACGTCCAAACAATCCAAAAAATCATAACTCGCATACTCCCTCCTCGGCACCCTCGCCCTCCAACAAAGCCTCGTAGTACAATACCTCATCGTCTCCTTCCACACCCCATCCTCACTCGTCCCCCACCTCGCATGCCCACTGCCCCTCCACGTATAACTAATCGCACACGCATCATCCCTCTCCAACACACTCCCATCCCTCTTCTTCAATTTCAACACTCTACACGCTTCGATCTGTGCCTCCAGCCCCGGCCAATCCGGCAACAAATCTTCTCGTGTTTCAAACTCGAGGTTAACTTCTTGGCATGAGGATGGGAGGGTGAGGGATGAGAGGGTGGAGACGAGGCGCTGTCGTTCTTTTAGTTCGGCGAGCAGGGGAGGGAGGAGGTATGCGCATATCGTCCATGTTATCCTGCGCCAGTGCAGATGGTTGAGTAGGAATTTAGTAAAGTTTGAGGGTTTCAGGGCGACGAGGTTGTCGTGGAGGTGGTAGAGTTGGGCGCCGCGCTGGGAGGTGGTGTGGTGTAGCCAGATGTCGCCGTTGTAGAGCCAGGATGTGGAGCCTAGATATCTGAAATGATGCGTAGCACTCCTTAATGGTATCTGATGTGCTTCGATGTAGATGAGGCGGCATGTGAGGAGTAGCCCACTGTCGATTTTCGTGAGATAGGTGTGCAGGGGCCGGTAGAGGGGCGAGATGGAGTGGATGTCGATGGGGCGGGTGTGGTCGTGTTGTTGGGAGAGGACGTGTTGGTATATTGTGAATCGGATTTCTGCTGGGAGTAGGGTGAAGAAGAGGGATTGCTGTTGGGCATGCGAGGTCGAGGGGGTTAGGGAGGCGAGGTGCCTACGCGTAGCGCGGGCGGCGCGTTGGCGGGTGTAGCGGTCTTTTGGGAGGGATTTCGGTTGGGGCATCGCGGACTACTTTGGGGTTGATGTTGAGCTTTGAGATGTCCACGGGTGTATGTTAGGCGGGAGGTTCTGGGTGGTGTATGACGTCGTTTGGCGAGGCGATTGATTGAGATTTTACTGCCTTTCTTCACCAAAGTCCAATGCAAATGTCCTCAATTCGCCAATACTAGCTCTTCATATTACGAGTGACCGGCACATTGGTGACTGCCAAGGTTGAAGATGTCGAGTGCACGTGTAGCCGGAAGCATCGTGGTGCAGCATGTGAGCTCTAGCCATGGCCCGTGCGTCAGCATAGAGCCTTCCTCTTCACTTGCACTCTTGCCTCAGCTTCATCACTCCGATAGCGCAGATACTACTCCAACCCAGCGCACGAATCTGGAGAAGACATTCTGTATCTGGATTGCTGCGATAACGTGAGTATGGAAGCTCCAGGGCTCCTCTGGGCTCTGAGGAGCAACGGAACGGAACCGTTGACACATGCCTCGGATGTGCTCATGATCGACTCTCAGCCTTGAAACTAGTGTATTGTTCCACTCCTCTCAGCTCGGACGTACCCGGAAAATCAATAGAAGGCATACAACTTTTGCCTACTTCGTATCATAGTCTTCGATGCCGAAGCTGTTGCTCGCGGTTGCCCACCGCAATGCATTGCCTAGGGTGTCTAGATAAGAAGAGTCCGCAATTAGCCCCGGCTTACGACGTCTAGTACCTGGCCACCAACAGCCGTTCTATCGTTCAACAAAACGATATCATGCCACCTGTGAGGCCGCCTCACCTGGCAACAATCTCGAATAACTTCAAGCTGTGGACTACTTTCACACCGAGTTACCGGGGCCTCGGATTGTGTAATTACACACAACGTCTAGAAGCACACTCACCGTACAGGGCAAACGTTCATTCAACAGCACTGCGAGATCGCACCCAAGCCGGAAAGCACACAATACAAAAGCTCTCGAACTCTTCCAGACTTAACGGCAACCTCCAGTCTCACTCCTACTCACCACCCACAAACTCTTCAAGTCGTTCTTTTAGTAACCTCACCAAATCTACCAAAATGGCATCTCAACAAACAGACTCATCCGAGTCGTCCAGCCCCACATCTTCCAATGAGTCAACAACACCACTTGTACCAGCCAGTTCTGCGTCAGACTCATCATCTGCCTTCGACTTCGATGGCGTCCTTGCCAAGTACACTAAGCGTCTTAACGAAGTCCATAGTCTATTCATTGACATTGCGACGGATGCAGGAAAGATAATGGTCGCAGCCGAGGATTGCATCATCACGACTGTTCACAAGAACAACACATCTGACGTAGTCACCAAATTCGACAAGCAAATCGAAGCCATGGCCGAACGACGCCTCGCTGAGTCCTTCCCCGATATCACCTTCCTGGGCGAAGAGACGTTCAAGCATGGCACAAAGCTCGCAGACACGCCGACATTCATTGTGGATCCAATCGACGGCACACTGAACTTCTCGCTTGGTGTACCCAACTGCGCTATCTCTCTGGCCCTGACAATCGACAAGAAGCCAGTCGTTGGCGTCGTGTTCAACCCTTTCCGCGGAGACATGTACCATGCGATCAAGGGTCAAGGCGCCTACCTTACCAAGACCTTCACCAACCGCAAGATCAAGCTACCCATTCACCCCGTTCCTAAGCCGATGCCATCGCTCAACTCTTGTCTCATGGCCGTTGAGTGGGGCAACCAGCGCTCTGGTCCTAACTGGGCACTGCGCACATCGATCCACAACGCTCTGCTCACCTCCAAAGTCGAGGGCGGCGCCATGTGCAAGTCAGTCCGCTCAAACGGGTCCGCAGCACTGGACTTCTGCTACGTAGCTCACGGCATGCTCGATGCGTTCTGGGAAGGAGGCGTGTACTCCTGGGATGTTGCGGCTGGGTGGTGTATTCTGGAAGAGGCTGGCGGTGTTGTTGTGAGCGCTAATCCTGGGAATTGGGATCCGGAGCTAGAGGGTCGTCTTTACTTTGCGGTGCGCAATGCGAAGCGCGAGGATCAGCGTGCTGTTATTCAGGAACTGTGGGGGATGATGGGGGATCGGAAGTTTGTGTTCCCCTGAATGCGGTTTTTGCGAGTTTTCACGGCATGGGGATGATATGGTGGAGTTTCATGCAGCACACGGCCGGGATCTGGTTTGTTTGGTCGGACAGTATGTCTTTGACTGAACTTATACATTATGATATATAGGTATGTGAGAATCCCTTCGATTTGATTTCGCTGCCTTGACCAAACACGAGTGAGCACCAGTATTGTTGCACGTTAATTGCGGTTGGAATGCCCATTCCCTAATGCACAGAGAGCAGTGATGGCTCCGTCCTATTTTGTGCGACTGATGCCTTCCATAGCACCCACAGACCCTCATGTTCAAGGTAGTCACGACAGATGCCAGCTTCTACATCTATCGCGAGACCCAAACAAACTTCCTCCATCACACTCTCACCCCAACACACCTCACTGCATGACCACCCATCCACACCGAAGCATCGTTTGTTATCACAACGTTATTGTATAGCACATCCCTATCATCAACTCACCATACGCTTATTCAGCATCACACACACCACCTCAATCAAGCTGTCTCGCAGCTAAGCATCAGCATAGCTGCACCCTGTGCAGTCCTGCACACCTCCCCTACCACGCTCGACCCCCAGTCCTTCGCAACCTACATCACCCTCACCAGCGCCTTCAACGAGACCCACAATCCATGCAGCACCACACCCACTGAGTACATGCCCTTTGACACCCGACGGTCCAAACCAACCCAACCCAAACGCCACACGCGCACATATTGCCCAAGAATCACTCATAGACGCCGCACCATCTTCGACCAGGGCCGCGACCCCCGAACAACTCACTTCACCGGCAGGCCTCTCACTGCAACCGAGAGACTACACGTAGCCCGCCAACGCCTCCGCAAGTTCGAGAAGACGCAATCCCGCAAAGCACAGCGGAAGACCTGGGTCCGTAACGGGAGAATCAATACGCCAAGCAAGCTCGACAGAATTCACCTCAAGCTGAAGAAGATCTTCAACGGAAACTTCTGAGCACCTCCACGCCTACACTCTGACGTCTTGATTGTGTGTTTATGAGCACGACTGCAACTTGTGTAACAAGCTCCGTAGCCTCTGGTGTACTCCAAGCCCCCGTCCAGGGACAAGGCCGAACACTTTCGACTCACCGACCGAGAGCCACCAATCCACTCGAACCACGCGAGAGGAGAAGGATCATCGAAGAGCGACGACTACGCAAACTCAGACGCCGAGAAGCCAGAGCGGAGAGATTAGCGAACCGCACGTTGAAGAAGGGACTTCGCGCTAAGATAGCCGATTTCTTTGGTATCTTCCGTCTTTGGTAGACGACTACGACCGACCTTTTATGACCTGTGCAGCCACATCTGGAGGTTGTGGAGCTAGTACAGCGTGCGCACCGTCAGCGCCAGCGATCGCGAGCACACCTGGTGTTATCTCGTCTGCAAGCACACCAAGTCGCCATCTCACCGCCGGGGAGAAAGCGGAACTGCAGCAGAAGAAAGAGGAGCGCGCAGAGAAGAAGCAACAACGGAAGGAGGTTCGAGACGAGGCAAAGGCAGACACCAAGGCCAAGCTCCCGGATACGACTAGCAAGAAGGCTAAGCTGAGGCTGTACATTACTTTGTTCAAGCTCAGGTTTCATCTCTAGACTTGAGATCGGTTTCTCGTTTGGAATACTACGTTCGACCCTACATGTCACACGAACATTGTGGAACCAGTACACATTGCGCATCGAGCACACATCACGCATCGAGCACACCATTCTCCACATCTTACAATACCAGTTGCAATTTCACCACCAAGAACGGAACGGTAGGGCAGAGACTGAAGATCAAGCGTGCGCGAAAGAGGCGACAGCGGAAGGTAGTTCGAGACAAGTCCAAAGCAGACACCAAGGCCAAGGTCCCACACGCGGGTAACAAGAAGACCAAATTTTGGCTCCACGTCAACTTGCTCCGGCTCAAGCTTCACCTCGGAACTTAAGATCAGTATATGGCAGACGGCGGTGATTGTGGTAGCGCAAGCTATAGTTCTGGTGACTGTGGCGGCGGCGATTCCGGCGGTTGCAGCACATCCCATACCGCAGGTGACGGAGGTGACGGCGGCAGCTACTCAGGCGGAGATTCAGGAACCGATTACATCCCACAAGGCTCCTCCTCGTCCAGCCGACCATTGACAGCCGAGGAGCAAGCGGCAGCGGACCGCAAACGCAAAGAACAAGAAGAACAGTGGGAGCGTGAGAGAGCGGAACGCAAAGAGAAGAAGCGACAACGAAGGGCAGTCCGAGCCGAGACCGCTACTGCAGTCAAAGCGAAGCGCCACGAGGCAGCTAAGCTGAAGGAGAAGATCCGTCTGACTGCCACGCTTCTTACACTCAAGCTCCATCTTTGAGCGACGCCAAACACACATCAAGGCTTTGAATGGAGTCTTCGTTCGTCGCCGCAGACTCTGGGACGACATCCTCAAGCGATTGCGGAACGACATCTGGAGATCGCGGAGCCGATTCGAAAGGCGATACTGGAGGTGACTGTGGTGCCGATTCAGGGAAAGACTGTGCCAACACAGAACCTCATCTGGCTGAACGAGAATACAAGTACACCGACTTCGCCACTACACCCCAGACAGACACTGCTGGTCCTTCCACCTCGTCACAGTCGAAGTCACAACCCGATACTAGCACACCAGAAGAACGACAGCAACGAGAAGAGCGTACACAAGCGAGGGCGCAGAAGAAAGAAAAGAGAAAAGAACAGACAAAGAAGTTCCTGAACAGTGCCAAAGCTGTTGCTGAGAACATCATCAAGGGCAAGTTTTGAGGCGTCCGCTGAACGGTCAAGACTTGTATACGGCTCCACAAGCTCGAGTCCAGGACATACCGATCATTTGCGCGGATGGGGGCCAGTATTCGCAGTAGTCGGAGCGTGCGATTCTCTCACGACAGAGATACAAGCCGTCAATCAGTGGCAGACTTCTCTCGCTGGCCGGGAGTGTACATCCATCCTGGGAACTTCGTACACGCCGCCGACAGACCGAAAGACGAAGAAGCGTGGCAGAGGTGCCGCAACAGTTTCAGAAGACTGAAGGCTCGTGTCCGCAGGAAGAGAGCCAAACGAAACGACTCGCATGGCAAACGTCGGTAGTTTCGACATTCCTCGCCCTAACGCGGGTGAGCACACCTTCTATCAGAACATCACCTGTTATGTTCACGTCTACGCGCCAACTACCGTGCACCAACAGACCCCGAGTGCTGCGCAAGAGACACATGCCGCGGTGGGAAGCTCATGCGAATCGGATCCAACGCTGTCAGTGCCCGAGAACCTAGGCGGAGTCGCTGCCAACCTCCGTCTTATTGACCTCGAGAGGGTGAAGCGAAGACGACCCGGAAGGAGACAAGCTCTTGTTGAGTGGGCAATCAGGAAATTGCAGAGGTTACTCCACAAGGTGACCTAAAGCGGACGGTCGTTGTGAATGCGGTGGCATCGAGACCATGTCGGTAAAGCTCGTCGAGCTCGACGACCCTTCGGCCGACGTCGGAACGTGTTCGAATGGAACAAGCGACGAGAGAGATCTTGGCGTTGGCGCCGGCTTCATCTGCTGGCGTTGAAGTATTGGGTGGTTGGCGTCGCGCGTCGTTGATCCAAGGTCGCTCGGAAGTGAGCACAGACCGCCCGCAACTGTGCATTGGCACCAGAACTGCTGCTCGCCATACTTCACGTCATGTTCGCCCGCACCACGCGCAACACTCTTGCTACAGCCTCGAAACAGCCCTACATATGTCATTCATGTCTGCTCCGGACTAGACAGTCTCAATTGGGCGCCCTTCATCTGCCCACGCGTCACACCGCACGATCTCTCCACACTAAGACCCAGCCACCACCGACGCAGGATGGCACAGCGTTCCGAAAGCAGCTGAAAGATGCTGCGAAGCAACAAAAGAAAGAGAAGAGCGCCTCTTCTGGCGCCTCAAAGTCCTCCAAAAAGGGCAAAGATGTGCGACTAGAGAAGTGGGAGCTAACGGTTGGAATCGAAGTTCATGCCGAACTCAACACGGCGCGGAAGCTTTTCTCTGGTGCTGCGACCTCAGTCAGCGAGGCACCCAATACTCATGTCTCCTTGTTCGACGTCGCATTCCCCGGTACTCAGCCTCACTTCCAGAAGGAGACCCTTTTACCCGCCCTCCGCGCCGCTATAGCCTTCCAGTGCGAGATACAGCCCAAGAGCAGCTTCGACCGCAAGCACTACTTCTATCAAGATCAGCCCTCCGGCTACCAGATCACGCAGTACTACGAGCCCTTCGCGACGAACGGCAAGATTACCCTGTACCCTCATGACTTCCCGCCTGGTGCTGCCCCGCAACCAGGGCCCGTCGAGATTGGTATCAAGCAGATACAGATGGAGCAGGATACCGCAAAAACCGTGCAGCAACCCCCTTCGACCCACCTACTCGACTTCAACCGCGTCTCACATCCTCTGATCGAGATCATCACACTACCTCAGATCCACGATCCCACAGTCGCTGCTGTCGTCGTTCGCAAGATACAAAACATACTCAAGGCTGTCAATGCCTGCACAACCGGCATGGAGCTAGGCGGACTGCGTGCCGATGTCAACGTATCAGTTCGTCAACGGGCAGGGGAGTCATCTGACTATCGTCACTCATACCACGGTGTTACTGGTCTGGGTCAACGGACTGAGATCAAGAACTTGGCAAGCGTCAAGGCTGTGGAAGACGCCATCATCGCAGAACGTGATCGACAAATCGAATTGCTCGAGAGCGGAGGTGTCGTTGAGGGCGAGACTCGCGGATGGACTCTTGGAAGCAAGACTACCAAACGTCTCAGAGGCAAAGAGGGCGAGATCGACTACCGCTATATGCCGGACCCAGACATTGCTCCTGTCATCATTGGAATCGTAAGCACAGGCACTACTTTTGGCATGAAAGCTGTGCTAATCTTGTCAGGATCTTGTTGAACACCTCCGGAACACCCTTCCCAAGCTGCCCGATGTGAATGTGGACATGCTTGCCAATACCTACGGACTCACTACGAAGGATGCCATCACACTTCTCTCCATGGACGATGGCGAACGATTGGAGTACTTTCTCGACGTCATTCGCTGCCTGGTGCGCCAAACCGAGCAGCACGAGAAAGACGTTCCGCTTGAAACCTTGGGCAAGATCACCGGGAACTGGTATGTTCATCCGCTATGCTACGCGTCGGAATCAAACTAACGCGTGACCAGGGTATTGATGGAACTCGGCTCTCTCTTCCAAGACGAACCCTGGGACCCTAACCGCGTCCCAGCCGACTATCTCGCCGGTGTCATCTCGCACGTACGTCGCAAAGAGGTCACTTCGCCTTCCGCAAAACGCCTCCTTGCCATCAAATTTGAGGGAGATGAGCGCAGCGTATCTGAAGTCGTTCACCAAGAGAACCTTCTCCTGCAACCACTCAGCCAGGAAGAGTACATCAAGCTAGCACAGACTCTACTAGAAGAGAAACCCGACATGGTTCGCGACATCACCGAAAAGGGTCAAGTCAAGAAGGTTGGCTGGTTCGTGGGACAAATGGTGATGAGAGCTCCAGATGGGAGTGTCGAGCCAGACAAGGCGAAGGAGGTACTGCTGAACTTGCTGGGTGTGGGAGAGAAGGCGTAGTTACTACGATGGTGTGGATACCCTAATGAAACATATCTTTAAGATTGGTGCGTATTGCTTTTGTGTCTTATGTGACCGCTGGATATATGGGCTATAAGGGTCCAATGTACGGGTAAGGATGTCAAAACCACTGACGTTTGACAGCCCAACAACATCAACCCACCAACTTAACCAGCACTCAAGTAGTGCGAACCTCGTGTCTCGCTTCCGGAATATGAGTGCCCACAGCACACGGTGACTGTAATAGAATTCGCGTATTACGATCAGGTCCCAGTCCAACGGCCGCGGGTGCAAACGCCTTCTTGTCATTAGCCACCAACACCCGCATACATCAATCCGCGATGTCACCCGAACAAACCGCCGCATACCTCGCCCGCTTCCGCGACCGCATCGCTACTATCCGCCAAAACGTAACTGTCGTCTCCTTCAAAGGCAGGTTCACCAACACCACCAACACCCTCCGCCGCAGAGAAGACCTGGGACGCCGGGGAGATAATGCACGAACGGCACTTTCTGTGAGCCTGGGTCTGTATTATACTGGCGTGGATAAGTCGGAGGAGGATCTGAGAGATCTGAGTCCCGTGGGGTGGGGGGATGGAGAGGTTGATGGTGAGGATGGTAGTGGTGAGGACGAGGATGGGGATGGTGATGACGGCCGATCCGATAGCATGGAACCCCTACGACACCGAGATCGAGATTTAAGCAGAGAGAACATCAACGACGGGACGTGGGGTGGAGAATGGGAGTTAGATATGGACCGAGAAGAAGAGCGGTTGATGCGTTCAGAGCACCGGATTGCGGAGGAGAGAGTGTCGTTGGGTGGAGAGGGAGAGCGGGAGATGTACGTGGCGTATCATAGTATTAATAGTGGGGCGGCGAGGAGGAGGGGGTTGGATGAGGTGAAGAGGATGTATGAGGGTGGGGGGAGGTATGCTACGGTATGTTTGCGATATTTGGGGAGGTGAAGAAGGTGGGGATGGATGGATGGATTGATGCATTGATGCTGACTGGTGTATAGGTTGGTAGGAAAAAGGGCCGCGAGTTGCAGAGTATGCTAAGGGGTCTGGGGGCTGAGGAGTGGAATGAAGAAGCGGAAGCGCCAAATGCAGGAGTATCGAACGAAGAAGCGCCAGACGAAGAACCATCCCATACTGCTACCCAAGACGAAGAAAACGAAGACGAAGAAAACGAAGACGAAGAAAACGAAAACGAAGAAAACGAAGACGAAGAACCACCCTATCCCGCCAGCCAAGAAAACGAAGACTCCATCTCCCTCCCCTCAAACCCCTACCCCGAAGACGACTTCCTCCTCCCCCTAACCCGACAACCCGCACGAACCACACCACCCCCGCCCTTCCCCTCCCCTCCCAACCTAATCATCCACCCAAACTCCTCACCTGGACTATCGATTCCATCACCCGGACTATCGATACCATCGAACCCCTACCCCGAAGACGCACCGCCCTCACCAACCCCCTCCTTCTCCCAGCCCCCTCCACCACCACCACCACCACCACCTCGACCCACACAGTCCCCATCCCCATACTACCGCGCCGTAACACCGCCTACACCCCACTCTCGCTTCCCGATCTATCCTGTTGACAGGACGATTTCGCCTATTAGTCCGTTTAATGCGAGTAGGCATTTGATTTCTGCGGAGGGGACGGCGTCGAGCCTGAGTTACCGGATTGAGCATCGACGAGAAGGAAATGATGGATACAACAATGATGATGATGGTGTAGAAGGGGGGTATACGTATGCGCCTAATCATCCTTACCACGGTATGAGTGCTCAAGAGACGAGCGAGTATTGGCTTGGGCTTGAGGGGTATCATACAGAGAGTGAGCGGAATTTGAGGAGGAGGGGTGAAGGGAGGGGGAGGAGACGGACGGTGTCTTCGCCTGTGCAGTATGATCATGAGAGGGTGTTTGGGTCTGTGGGGGAGAGTTATGAGGGCGGTAGTACAAGGGAACGGGAGGATGAGGTCAGGCGGCGGTATTTAGACGCCTTGACTGGTGAAGAGAGAAGGATGGCGGAAGAAGAGGACGAAGAGGAGTTCGCCATGAGGACTTCCTCTGGGGAAACCAATGCGGGCAGGAAGAACATGATGAACCGGCTCCTAAGCACCTTTGCATGTCGACCCGGAACCGTCACACCACTACAAACCACCACCCCCAATCCAACCAACACAAACACACCCACTACCCTCGCCGTACCCCTTACCCCAAAGAAATACACCCTAGCCTACCTCTCCCACAAAATACACCGAACCCAAAAAAGACAAGAAGAAGCCAGACTCCGAGAACGCCTCATGGCCCTCCGCCTAGCCGAACCATCTGCGCCGCAAACCCAGCACATCGAAAACATCAACATCAACAACCCCACAGAAATCCCCGTTCTCATACCCAAACCCAAAGCGAAGAGGAGGAAAGACAGCACACAGCCCAACCCACCTTCTCTTGTCCCAAACCTAGAAAGCCGGACGCAGAGTGTTATTGGTCCGCCAGTTGGGCTTTCGCAGATGATTCAGAGGGCGCCGGGGAGTGTTAGGGTGGTGACGCCTTTGCCTGTTTCTGTATATTCGGAGACAGGGTCTTCAGGTGGAGAGAGGGGGGAAGAGGTTGAAGAGGAGGTACAGCATGGACCAAGACAAGAGCACTCAGGCTCAAGTCTCTCGGATCGGTTGCGGCAAACGCAACTTGAAGATCTACCTCTGCAACAGGATGCAGCGCAGGAGATACGGGATTTGATGATGGCGCTTGAACGGGATCAACACCACCTTATTGTCAAGACTGCGCCGCCTTCGCATAGTGGCACAGCATCCTATGATCCCAGCCCGAACGCACCAGCTATCCAACGAGCAGATGAACTACCCGCTGGATTCTCGACCTCATCACCCCAGGCCAGCCTCTCCCCCCACGAAAATCTTGAACGACACTTCCGTACACAACGCCAAGTCAATGAGCGTTTCCTCCATCCCATTCGTGCGATAACTTCGCAGTCGAGTAGTCGGACGCTGCCGAGGAGCTATCGGGTACCGGAGGGGCATGGTGGAGGGAGAGGTGTGCTGCGGGTTACTAACGCGGTTGTGCAGGGAGAGGAATTGGAGGGAAGTAACGAGATTGGGGTTGGGGTTGATGGTGGTGAGGATGGTAAGGGTGGTAGTAGTGCGAATAATGTTGTTGAGAATCAGCAAGATGGGACTGAGGAGTTAGCGGCGGGTGGAGAAGAGCAGAAGGGTGAATCTCTACTCCGATATAATAGTGACGAGGAAGGTGGGAGAGATGTGACAGAGGCTGGATGAGCGATACCCAGGTCGCTGCTATGATTCCAGCTATCTCGACTCTATCAAGTCGTTGTTATCACGTCTATTACTACTGCTGCGACTACCAAATTATCAGGTCAGAAGAAAGGCTAAAGTGAAGCAGTGTCTCGCAGAATATCTCTAGTGCTCACAGGCCGCCAATAGAGCGTTGGTGTCAAAGAAGTAACAGGGGACGATGTTTCCCCCCTCATTACACCCCACAAACATCCCCATACCCATGAACATGATCAAAAGCCCTCAGCAGCCCAAACAAATGCGCAACACCAGCACAAACAACCAAACAATGCATAATCTGGTGACTAGAACCCCAGATATCGAACCGGTACGGATACCATTTCTCCGGAATCTACGTGTTGTGGTCAGTCCCCCATTTCTTTTCTTTCGAAGGCAGCAGTAGTAGTAGTAATAGGCTCAATTAACTTACTCTCATAGCGTACAACGCACCACCCGTAAGATTAAACGTCGTCATCAACGCCATCCAGTCCAAACTCATCCTTTGCATCTGCGTTTCCCAACCAAATTTCAGCAAGCCGTGCACGATGGGGATGATGAAAGAGAGACCGAGACCGGCATACATGGCCGCGCGGTAGGGTCGATATTTTGGGCGGCGGAAAGCTGGGTGGAGTGTTGCGTAGACACAGGCTCCTGCTAAGACGGATACGAGCGTGTAGTATGTTGTTTGTAGTTGTGGGGTGCAGTAGAAGCCGTAGTACACGCAAGGGATAGTGGAACCCCACATTAGTATCACTATGCCGAGCTAAAGTACTCAGTGGCTGTGTGGAGTGGTGGGGGGTTGTTTGCTTACGTAGTCGAGCTGGTTACCGAAGATGTGGACGCTTTCGCTGTGGTTGTTGACGACGTGGAAACTACGTTGTGTGTCACTTCTTGGGTGTCAGTGGAGGGGGTCGAGACAAGACTTACGTTGCGGACAGTGCAAAGCATATAGCGACTCCGAAGAAGAAGGTTGAGAATACGACTACGTCCGCTGTGGTTGCTGTATTGTAGTATCTTGGCTGCAGGGAATAGTATACGGGGATAGGAAGCGCAAAGAATAATGCTGATCCTATAAGATGCGAGAATATGTTTACTGGAGAGGAGTCAGGTCGTCTTCTGCAGACATTGCGTACAATCTTGCCGGTTTCGTTGTGGATACCGAGAATGCTTCTCAAGGACTGCTTGTAAGATTTTGAGATTGCCCTGGATGTCGCCCTTAGAGAACTTCTATAAAGGGGATACCAATATCATTACCTATAGCCCGACAGAATGTACTCATTGTCTCTAACCCCAGTGAGCGGATGTCGATGATAAGTAATCTAATGATGAATATACTGGTACCAACTCGCTACACCATCGGTCAGCTATAGAAGCACCATGCAACCAACTATCTTACGTATCTCATCCCACGTCAACAATTCGCCTCGTTGCCTTTTTCCCATTTGATCGCGAGGCTCAGCCTTGCAACCATTAGCCTTGGCATGCACATACGCGGTAGACGCATGCGTACCTGGTTTTTCGCTGTTGAACCGACCTGTTCTGCAGGTCGTCGAGGACGAACACTCATCTTAAAAATGGTAATTCTCTGGGCGTGAAAAACATGAGGTGGGATGCAAAGTCGAAGTACAAGCGGCACAGCCCATGTGCATGTGATTTAGCGCAGGAACAGGAAAGCCGATGCACGGATCAATACGACGCAACCTTGGAAGACGCTTGATCTCCACAACGATCCTTTCGTTCCACAATCCTCGAATATCTGCTCCGTCTCCAATCAATTGCGCACAGTAGCACGTTAGCGCATGTCTGATGAGTGCTATCAGCAGTCTGACAGCGGCTGCATCTGGTATCGACCTAGGTAGAGGGTGGGGGCCGTTTGAGAAGGGACGGCACACGCCCGTCTCAGGTTCTCACGGCGCAGCAGGAGTACTTGTCGAGGAAACCGTCCGCCCGCTCCTATTCGTTACTCTGGCCATGGATGCGCGTTCCTACATGCAAGATGCCTCATTTTCAAGAGTTTTCGGTACACAACTCTATATCTGAATCGGCCCCCATTCGACTTGCCGCTCAATCATGCGAGCCTGCAGTCAGACGGCGCAGCATGAACACTCATCGGGCTTTAGTATAAGCGGCGCGCCCCGTGGTCCTTCACCCTGCCTTCTCCGGTCTGGCCTGCGCTTGTTGTCTTGAACTATGGTGTTAGTCTTGTGCAGCTTTGCTTTCATCTCCCTCTCCGCCCACAGTGTTTCCGGCATAAGCACCAGCAATGTCAACACTACAGATACCGTAGGATTCGTAAAAGAGGACAACCAACGAGATACCATCTCCCTGCTCATAAGCTGCTTCGCCACACTCGGCTTATGCGTGTATTCAGCTGTGCACTTGAACGTACCGCGCAAGACCGAAGGAAATTGGCGGGTCCTACTAAGAGAGCTTCAATGGTGCATTCTGGGCCTCTTCGCACCAGAGCTGATGGTGTATACAGCCTGGCGACAACTAGCGTCTGCACGGCAGCTGTGTTTGGAGATAGAAGAGGCAAAGAGGAAGAAAGAAGAAGATGGGGCGGAAGCTCGCGAAAAAGTACATAGCCAAACCATGCTTGCTTTGGCTCCCGAACTGACAGCTCCCAGACAGCAGTAATATCTGAAGACCATAACCACCACCGTTCTACTCCATGGACTATTCCACACGGGTTCTACGGCACAATGGGCGGTTTCGCACTCGACATTGACGATACCGACACTCGCAGCGCGGTCTTGTTCAATGGTGCGAAACGCCTCACCCTAACAGCCAAAGGCGTTGCACTACTCGCGCAGTGCGGACACATCCCATACGTCTCCCTCGACGACATAAAAGACAAGAACAAAGCAGACGGGCTTGCCAAGCTACTCGTGTGCATCCAGGCCGGGTGGATGATCGTCCAGGTCATCAGTCGGACTGCATCTGGGCTGCCAACTACTTTACTCGAAGTACACGTTGTCGCTCACGTCGTTTGCGCGCTTATCATGTATATTCTCTGGTGGCACAAACCGAGGCAGGTTACATCTCCCACGCTACTCAAAGGGGACTGGCTGCCTTTGGCTGCGTACATGTATCTAGCGAGTCAGATGAGTGGCAAGGTGCCACAGGGCGTGTTTACGATTTTTCGGGTCCGGACGCCAGAACTAGAGAAATTGGCTTACTTTGATGGAGAAGAGACAAGATCTGAAGGTCTTGGTCCTGTTGATTGCAGCAGTACAGCGCAACCTCGTGCATCCGGTCATCTCGGGACTCGTCCTAACATTCAGCAGTCGGAGCGGGATCCTGAGACGGAAACCGGTTCCGAAATGAGACGTCTTGCCGAAGAAGCTTTGCTGCTGTACCCCGTTCTACAAACCCGCTTCACCCCAGCTCGTGAAAGAGCTATCTCGGGGTTTACATACAGCATACCCCACGTCACCGAACTCGTGCAGTCTCACGCTCTAGACTGGCCAAACGACGGTCTAATCCGTCGCACCCAATCTCTAATCATGGGCATGGTATTATGGGGAGCTTCATGCGCATACGGTGCAATACACGTTGCAGCTTGGAACTACTTCTTTCCTAGTGAGATAGAGCAGCTCTTCTGGCGATTGAGTTCTGTATGGGTAACCTTTTGTGCGGCGTTTTGGCTGGTCACCAATCTCTTGGCTTATGTTTTCCCGTTCATTGACACGATCTGGGTGGCTTACAATAAGCGGTCGCTTAGCTGGCTCAGCACTGCGATCATTACGCTTTTGTGTATACTTTGTGGCACAAGTTATATCGTGAGTCGGGCGTACATTGTGGTTGAGGCTTTTGTGAGCATTAGGAATGTGCCGAAAGGCGTGTATGACACGCCGGCGTGGTCGCAGGTTTTCCCTCATCTGTAGAATCGACTGTCCGTCTTTACTGTTTGCAATCGCCTCTAGGATGGTCACCCGTCACCAGAGCGTAAAATTCTCCACTGAACTCTGATTCCCGGAGGATGTTCGCAGATGCTGTGTCAGCGTCGTTGTATTGCAGTATTAAGTGCTCTAGACGAGTGATTTCAGACACGGAATAGAGTGAGGTGTCGAAAACGTGACTGAGGAATATCTTGATTGCTGAATGATACAAACTAATGAGTAAGCCCGAATGTTCTTGAGCGGCTACTGGGATGGACTGAACTATGGCATAGCAGACAAAGGTCATCATTCCAGGCGCATATTCAATGCAGCTGGACTTTCTAGTCGATGTAATTGAATCGACGCCAGCGCTTGAAGCGCAGAATGCGTTGTTTGGACGACAAGCATTCAGCCAAGTAGAGGAGTTTACTAGATTCAAGATCAGGTTAGTACCACAGAATTTTCACCTCACAGCACGTAGCGTCATAACATCACGACATCACGGAGGCAGCCATGCGATAGCACAGCGATGCCGAGCCACATCCACGCATGGCATGGACGGGATAGCCAAAGGCCAAAGGTTTGTTCAGGAACGGTCATATTGTCTATGAAACATTCCTCAGCCACCACGCTGACGCAAGTCAACGCAGACCCGTTTGTGGGGTTACTGCGGACTTGAAGATCCATCCCAATCATTGCCGTTATGGTATCCTTTTGTATCATTCCGAGACGCCGTTTCATGCACAATCGTGTTGTGTGAGTGATGGTTGATCGTATCGTATCGTATCGTTCTGGCGCTTATGCGACGAGCTGAACGACACCACCAGCCTCCTTGATCTTCTTCTCAGCCTCAGCGGAGACGTAGCGGGCGCGGACGACGATGGGGACGGCGGGGAGACGACCCTTTCCGAGGACCTTGGAGTAGCCGTAGTCGAGGAGGTTGAGGACGGGGGCGTTGCCGGACTTGTTGGCGAGGTACTCGGCGCGCTTCTCGGCGGGGATGAGCGACCAGAGCTTGTCGAGGTTGATGACGGGCTTCCAGAAGAGGTTCTGCATCTTGTGGAAGTACCTCATACCAACCTTACCGAAGTAACCGGGATGGTA